CAGCGCATTTACCGGTGCCTCCTGAGTCTCTTTGCCAGTCATCTTTAGCAATGCTGTCAGAATCACCGCTGATGACGCCCACCCGTTTCCAGGACCTGCCCGTACACTACTCAACAGATTGTACGCCGCTGTGCGCTGCTCTGTCTGCGTGTAGCGTCCTAGCGTCAATGGCCGCGTAATAATATCGGCCGCCCGCTCAGCGTCTTCCTGTGTCTTGGGCGTATCTCCCAAGTACGCCAACAGCTGCGCTGCTGCCCGCCGTACACTCTCGTTAGCACTACGCAGCTGTGTGCCTGCCAGTGGCTCGGCAAGCGCTTCCAGGTACATTGGCGCCAGATCGATATTGTCCCGGCCCACTGCTTGAAGCAGCCACAGACACGTAGGCAGCACCGCTTCAGGTGACCGCACCAGCATCCGAGAAATCGTTGGCCGGAACGTCTGATCAAACTCGCTACCAATAAGCTCCAAAAACGCCTGCATATCGCGGACGCTCGAGTACGATGGTGTGGCTTTAGCACTGATCAATACGCGATCGATAAAGTCAGCAATAACAGTCTTGCGCTCCACAACTGCTGCCTTGGCTACGCGCACGCCCGCACTAACTACGTTACCCAGCAATACCGCGTTCGTCTCGCTTTCGTCTGCCTTGGCCGTCAGCACATCCAGCATCGATCCCACCGCTTCAGGGTGCGCCCGCACCACGCGCCATACCTCGCGATGCGCACTCCGCGACATTGACATTGCCTTTCTGTCGATATTCTGTGCATGCGCAGGGGCGATGCCCCACAAAAGTCTGGCGGTCAGCAGCACCAGTCGCTTCCACACTGCGTCGCTTGCGTCGCTGCCCTGCTCGCGCGTGTACACGTCCAGTGCCTGCGTTGCCCACGTCAGCATCACAAATCGCGATGCCTGCGTCGACGGAATTGCGTCTGGGTGCGTTGTCTTGCGAGGCTGCGCCGTCTCCATCGCCCCGTCAAGAACCACCGCCATTGCGCGCCCAAACGTCTGCGGCCGCTGCGCTCCGATGGACGCCAGCACTTTGTGCACGGCTGCCCGCGATACGCGGTCCACATACAGTGGAATCGTCTTTTTCAGCACGACTACCAGGCCTAGCACCTCCTTGTCTGACGCTTCCTGTCCCACCACATGTCCAATCACTTCAGTCTCGAGTAGCTCACAGCGCTGCTTTACGCTTGATGTTCCCACCCTCAGTGCCAGGCTCTCCAAGTACATCTTCCATGAGAATCCATTGTCGTCGGCTCCCGTCTCACTCATTTTTAAAATTCGCTTGAGCTCCTAGCTACTGCCTGTACGCTCCGGTTCGTTTCGTGATCCGATCTTTAAGTAAGCTATCTATGTGTCCAACTGAACTAGAGCGATAAGCATGTCTGTTAGCAAAAGGTTGTAATGCCCAGATTTATCTGCGAACTCTGCTGAACGATTGCCGTACCTTTTCGATGAATTTAAAAGAATAAAAATCTTGAATGCGTATCTGCCAGAACTCAAAAAGATTTCTCCCCTTGTCCCTTTTGTATGCGCTGGCCGCAGTCCCAGGTGCACTGCGGCCACATTGGCCCTCAAAAAATTTTCCTGCTCAGCGCTTTAGTCTATAGCCCTTTTATCTGCTGCCCACGCGTGCTCGGACCCATTATGCACCATTCTTGCGTGGCTAGCACACAAAAATGCAGTAGTGTGATATCGAGCTCCCTCTTGGTGCTTGTCACCGTGTTTTTTCTTCATCCACATTTCTAGTACTATACTTTATCTATTTGCAGTATGCGGTGTTGGCAAACGTGTTTGGCGCTCGCTTGTATTTTTGTAAATTCGCCGGCCGCAGCTGCACAGGCGGGAACTTTGGTAGAAACTGAGAGGCTAGCTCGGACTAAAGAGCACGCCACAGGGACTGCAGCTTATGTAGAAACTACAAGTACGGTTTCTAAAGTCGAGTCGACGACACGGCAGGCACATACACAACCTTCGTTACCCCGAGGCTTGATAACTATACCAGAGAAGACACAGTTATTTTTATCCTCGAGTCTAGCGACTGCTTCAGAGGGTGAACAAATACGTACGTCTCCTGGCCTGGCCACGGTGCCGAAAGAAGAGCAAGTAGCTCCATCGCCTAATATAGCGGCAGATTCGGATGATGAAGAGTTGCCTCCAGTGCACGACAAGCGCCAACCCGACGCCAAATCGCTCAAAGACCGGTTCAATTATGCGTCTGCCGACTGCGCAGCGGTGGTGTTGAAAGCAAACCGCGAGGCTCGCGGGCTGACCGCCATTTTAAACAGCAAGAAGGACCAGTACATGCTCAACGATTGCTCGGCGCGCAAAAAGTTTGTCATTGTCGAACTGTGCGAGGATATCTTGATCGATACGTTTGTGCTGGGCAACTATGAGTTCTTTTCCAGCACGTTTAAAGACTTTATGGTGTACGCCAGCGACCGGTATCCGCCAAAAAACAACCAGTGGACGTCAATTGGGCATTTTCAAGCCTTTAATTCGCGAGACGCTCAGGTGTTTTCGGTCAGAGATCCAAAGATTTGGGCAAAGTATGTAATGGTCGAGTTTGCCACGCACTATGGCCAGGAGTTTTATTGCCCGCTAACCGTGTTCAAAGTGTATGGCGCTACGCAGATGGAGCAGTACCGGAAAGAGGAGGAAGAGGAGGACTTGTTGGAGCCTGCCACGCTGACGGTCGATACTCTGGCAGGCACGCCGCTGCTTGACTACCAATTGCGCTTGCCGTACTATCACCAAAAACCTCAGCATAAGCCGCTACATATTGCTGGCTCTGTGTCACCGGTCAAGGCGTATTTGCAGGACATGCAAGGTTTGGTTAACGAGTACCAAGTGCAGGACAGGAGCGAACCCACGGTGGTATCAAAGACTACGCCCATGCCTCGGGTGCCCAATTTGCCGTGGGACCAAAGCAACAATGTTCAGTCGGTGGATATGGATATCAAAGATGATTACGACGAAGATGACGACGAAGATGACGAAGATTCCGATGAAGAGCCTGAGGATAAAAAAAGCACCGATGAAAGCAATGCTGAGGGGCCCGTGCCCCACGCACCACATGGTCAGGAGAGCATATTTAAGACGATTATGCGGCGGCTGGCACGGGTAGAGCGCAATATTACTCTGGCATACCACTATCTCGAAGAACAGCACATGATCTTCAACCTGGTGCTACAACAAGTTGAACTAAACAACTTGGCCACTATGCAGCTTGCTATTGACCAGCTCAACCACACTACTGCCAAGCAGATGCAGTCGCTGACCGCATTAAGCGAGGAAGTATGGCGCGCAATTCTTTACGACCTCGAAGAATATCAGCAAAAAACACAAACTGAAACGAGCGAAATGGCCAGCCGTCTCGAGTTCTTGGCCGAAGAAGTGCTATTTGAGAAGCGTATGAACGTTGCTCAGCTGGTCCTGTTGCTCACTATTGTGGTTATGATTGCTGTTAACAAGGTGGTGACTAAGCTGGCGCTGATTCCAGAGTCCAAGAAAGAGAAATAAACTACATTGTAATATTTTTAGGGTTTAATACAGATAAGCTCACTTAACATGAAATGTTAGAAATAGTTGGATAATATTCAGATATACAGTGCAAACATATATTTCATTTCAGCATTTGTAAGCAGGCATTTAATATATTGATGATCCTCATATTCCGTCAGTTAGCCGACCATTTGTGCTAAATTAAAAGACTGTAGCTTGTCTGTGGATCCAGTTGTTTGCGACCAAACATTTATGTGCTAACCTTTTTTAATCATGTATTCATTTAAAATGAAATTACAAATCTAACCTGTTTATCGTTTTATCGTAGCCACGCCATGGCCTGGCGGCAATAAAATGCAATGAGCAAAGTGCATTGCTCATCTCTGCTCATTTATATGGTATCATTGGTAAATGTACAACTGGCCGAACAGATGAAAAACTGCAGTTGGAAAACACTCCAAAATTTAAGCAAAGGAAATTCAAATAGAGGATTGCTTAGCAAGCCCTTTTTATAAGCACTATTTTTATTAATATGTTAGCTGGCGGCACAAGCTTTAATGGGAATACGTTTGTATTGGCACATAAAGTGAAAGAGTGCAGGGGAAATAAAAAAATAGACAGTGGGTAGCATAAGATTTAACCGAGCAGCCTGAGCGATACACAGCAACCAGCAAATCAAGAAACAACTTTCACTGCGATATATAGCAGAGTAACATGTAACATGGTATATCAGTATATGCATTAGCTGGAAAAATGCACTTGTTACAAATTATTGGTATTTAAAAATGGTATGTCACCCAGTGAATAGCACACATTTATTGAATTAAAAATAACACCACTGCAACCTAACCCAAACGCCTATTATGTTGAGTAACATTTGAAGCCTGTCAGCCTTTCCACACGTTAAATATATGATTGAGACAAATACATAGCTCCTCAGGTAGGAACAAAACAAAACAATGCATAATTATCCTAAAAATGGCAGTTTATTTTGCATTATGATGGCTCTAACGACATGTTGCCAAAGTCATCCAAAACTACATTAAACAGTAAAATGTAAAAACATATAGTCGGCACCACACTGTCTTTGTCTTGTCTGCTATGGCTATTTTTGATTCTATTAATAAACGGCATGGCAGCAATAAGCAACTTTGAGAACATTTAAAAGGACAAAACTGAGAGGAAATGAGCTAGAATCAACACTACCAGTGCCGCGTTTTTCATGGTTTAATACATGGTCTTGGAGCATAGAGGCTTGAGTAGCGTATGATGATGCTTATTTTTAGTTTAGCTAGCAAAATAAAAAAGCTTTCTCAGCAGCTCTTACTTTTTGCAAACAGCACAATATTTAATGGCTACGGACAACCAATAGCACACCGACTGATTGCAAAAACAAAACACTTTTATAGCCCCTACTCGGTGTCGACAGCGTAAATAAAACAAGTAAACCATGTGATAAAAGATGGACAATGCCAAAAAAATATTTTTTCAAGTGGAGGACCTGGGCATCGATCCCAGTGCCTATCGCATGCAAAGCGATCGCTCTACCATTTGAGCTAGACCCCCATCTCTCTTCTCTACTTCTTATTTTCGGGCTGCGCACGTCACGTGACTCCTTCGAGAATGACCAGTCCAGCGAATCCATCGCAGGCGAATCCATTGCCTCCGGTGGCGACGAGACCACCAACTGAATCCGCGCCAACGCTAGGCAACTATGCCGCTGCCGCAAGGCGCGCTGAAGGCGTATCCGCCGCATCCGACACTCCTAGACCCGCTAGGCTGGGTGGTGCACCCATCGCAAATGGTGCACCCAATGCATCTGCTCCCCGAGGTGCCCGTGGAGGTCGTGGGCGACGTGGGAGACATGGCAGTAGTGCATCCATTGTTCAGGGTGGTGCACCTGCTACTGCCCCGCGTCCAGTGCCCGCTGCTGTTGCTCAGCAGCAAAATCCGATCCGGCAGAAGAGCCCCGCTGCTCTGGCTGAGCTAGACAAGAACCCTTGGCTGGCGAACCCGGCTCTGCATGTCGCCATCCCAGGTAACCGTATCGATCTGTTCCAGGTCATCTCGCAGCATGTGCTGGCTGTGCTCGGTTTACCTGCATCGCTTCCTGTCACCGACCTGGCGCATCCGGTGGCTGGCTGGGGCTATAATCCAAAAGGGTTGAGTCTCATCATGAGGAATGCAGAAGACCAGGCCAAACTTCTGCACCACCCATTCACCTTTGAGGGAAAGGTTTTCCCCTGGGCCTCAAACATGGGTGTCCTGGTTCCTGTGGCTGTGTTGGGTGTGCCCCCTGAAGTCCGCGCCTACAGGATCAAGGCTGCCATGATCAATTACGGACGGCTGACGCATTTGGAGCCCCTACTCCTGCCTGATGGCATGCCCTGCGGCGATTGGGTGGGATTCCTGCATGTGCAAAAGCCAGACAGCCCGCTGCCATTCCAGCTGCACTTTAACGGCTTTTCCGCGCCTGTCCCTGTGCTTTCTGGGATGCCGCTGGTGCGTTGCGCACAGTGCGGCCATGTAGACCCCAAGCTGTGCGACCACCGCAACCGCACCTGCAGCAACGTTCCTTTTTCTGCGGCTGCTACAGCTGCTGCCACTCCGACTGTAGTTGAGCTGCTTCGCGCTCCTGCCCCAGTTGCGGTGGGCAACTCTCAGGAAATTCCATTAGCTGAAGAACTTGATGCTCTTGCCCCTGAGCCTGCAGCTGATCCTGCGGCTGATCCCGATGCCATGGAAGTTGTCCCTGCAGACGCTGGTGGTGCGCCTGCCGCTGAGACGGCGCCTGTAGTGGAGGCTGCGCCTATCGTGGAGGCTGCGCCCACTACCACTGCGCCTGTAGAGCTGGCCGAAAATTCCGCACATTCCGCGCATTCTACGAACTCGGCCAATTCTGCGAAATTCGTTTTTGCTTCTGCCAGCACTTCTGTGGTGGTTAACGACGAGGCAGCGCCTGTGGGGCAGGCAGCGCCTTTTACGTTCGCTACGCCGGCTGTGGCCGCTCCTGTAGTGACCACCGCTGTGGAGAAACCTGCCACTTTCTCCCCAGAATTTGCTGCCAGTTCAGCCCG